GTGGATTTTTTATGTTTTTTAAAAATAAAAGAAGAAAAAAAAAATAAAAAAAAAATAAGAACACAAAGCTCTGGAACATCATGCTAATACAAAAATTAACTGAAAGAGGAAGGGCTACTTCAAACCACTCCAAATTCTATGCAACAAGGGAAAAGTTTATTAGTTATGCAAATGAAAATGTGAGTCTTTTCTCTCTCCCTTCCTCACATGTTGCTTTTTGGATATATATCAGTTGTAGTTGTCGTCGTGTCAGCGGGAGATTTCTTGGCTGGATAGTGAAGCAACATAAACTCAAAATACCTCCTTGTACTGATTCTCGGGCGCAATCTTTGCTGGTTGTGTTTGTTTCTGTAAAATCTTGAAAATACTAATTAAAAATATATGAACAAAAAGCAAGTGAGATCCTTTATCAAGGGAAGACAGCATAAATCTTTGCATGTGGAGATATGCATCGAACATACTGCACAACTCTTTTTTGCAACCAAATACACACCTACAGATGCATCTGTAAGCGCAGTGACCCTCATGTACAATACTTCCGTCATCTTGAGCTGGATATGGATGTTTCACATCAGATGACTAAGTTCAACAGCTTCCATTCAGGAAATTAGAGTCAGTGTGGTGTAGTGAGTTGAGTGTCAGACTACAAATTTGGAGACCAGGGTTCGAATCCCTGCTCAGCCATGGAAGCTCTCCAAGTGACCATGGGCAATTCATACTGTCTCAGTCTTAAAAGAAGGCAAGGACAATCCCCTACAAACAAATTCTGCCAGTAAACACTGCAATAGGGTCATCTCAGCATTGCCATAAGTAGAAAACACTGGAAGGCATGCAACAAAAACAACAAGACCCACAAGATTCTGGACAGAGGCTTCATCCTTACCTTGCAAGGAGGCCCCTCCATTGCACTCTTGTTTGATCTCCTTCCATTGGAAACTCTCCCTCATGTCCAATGGAGCCCTCTCTGCCACGGAGAATTCAGAGTGGAGTTCTCCCAGGGGCGTTTTGACCTGAAACAGGAGTGAGGACATGGAATTTTGAGAAGGATGAGAAAATCTCACATCTTTTGGACAAAAATTTGGAGCTGTGTGATATGAGACATCCACCCAGATCTAGGTCAGAAAGAGTCGACTGCTCATTAGCCCCAACTGAAAAAGGGACATACAAACAAGGTGGAACACAGTATGACACTTTTGTTAATACTTGTGATAGGTTTATTGGATATGCTGGGACACAAGTCCATGCAGCCCACAGCAAGAATATCTGAAGTTTTGGAAAACCCTGCTCTGATTTGGAAGGCTTCTCATGGAACCATATAGATATAGATATTTGTATGTCTATATGTGTGTAAGGGAGAACATTAATAGAGATATGGGCCCAAAAAAGACAGGCCAAAAGGGCTGCTGTCGGGTTGAGTTGGGGGTGTGATGTTTACATGATGCATGCCCCCAATGCATCCAGAAGCCACATTGAGTCCACCCCAACCTGGAAGAACTGGGCCAAAAGGAGCAGAAAAAATCCCCTTTTTTTCGGAGGTTTGGTTCAAGACTATGGCGGAGGCCTGGATCAGGATCAGGCACATGCGGGTGCCATGTTCCCAGCATGAACGGCAGTGGCGCTATCCCAACACGAACCTTTTGGGCCATCTGCTTGACTCCACAGAGAAACAAAAATGAAAGCCTACTGATACTGTATATTTATACCTACCTGTACATTCTGTGCCTACAACACTATTGTTATTAATCTGTTATATTAGTTTTGGAATAAAAATAAAATGGAAAAAAGGTCAGCAATGGTAAAAGTGTTTCACCACTTAGAGTGAAAGATGGCTACTTGCTCGAGTGGCCAGAAGCCCATTCACCTCCTGGACACATCAGGGCCATACTGCCACTGGAATCACGAGTAAAGTCTGGTTGTATGGCAGTGCCACCAGGAAAACCTGGCACTTCCTTTGAAAACTTAGCACACAGGGAGTACATACCTGGATTTAAAACAGAATCGTACTTTTAAGAGGATTTAAGGACTGTGATTCCACTTCATCATAAAGTGAATCCTCCCAACACTCCTCTTCAAAGCCAAATCTGGAAGCATCACATTTAAGCAGAATCTCATCAGAGGGTCTTTGCCTTCTTCAGTCCTCAGAGTGCTCCAAGAAAGGCAGCCCCAGAGTGATCACCTGCCCATCTTTCCACCATGAGGAAACACTCACCTGCAGCTCTTTCTGCTCCTTCTCTGCCTCTGCTTGACTCAGGAGAAAACCTTCGGCCAAGGCCACCGCCTGGGAACAGGTCTCTGCCCCACATTCCCGGACCCACTTCTCCATCTCTGGGGGCAGGATGGTCAGGAACTGCTCCAAGATCACAAGGTCCAGGATCTCAGTTTTTGTGTGGTGCTCTGGCTTCAGCCACTGATGGCAGAGATGGTGGAGTCGACTACAAACCTTTCGGGGGCCCTCACCCTCTTTGAAGGAGAACTGCCGGAACCGCTGTCGTTGTATATCTGAACTCGCATAGTCCTCACCCAGGAACCTCTTCTGGACTGCCCTCTCCCAAAATTTCCCACTGCTCTCAGCACAGATGCTGTCAGGGCCCCTTCCTTCTTTAGGACCAGCCATGCCATCCATTTTGGGGGGGGGGGGGCAAAGAAGCCGCAAATAGGATCAAAGTTATTCTTCCTCCATCTGTCTCAGGGCAAAGATGTTGCTAAGCTGCTTTACTGCAACATGCTGTAAAACAAAGACATTGTTGCGTTATTATTGGTATGACCATGTATTCATAGAGCATCAACAATGTACATTGTTCTGTTAAAAATTATTATTCTGCTACTAGTACTGGTGCAAAGGCAGGCTTACTGTTGAACATAAAGAAAACAAAAGACCACAGAGAATTTACAAAAATTCAATCTAGACAATGAGGAAATAGAAATAGTAAAAGAATTCTCATACCTGGGATCAAACATTGATAGCAACAAGGACTGCAGCCAGGAAATTAGAAGAAAATTAAGAATGGGGAGAGGAGCTATGAAAGAATTAGAAAAAAATCCTAAAATGCAAAGATATACAATTGAGCACAAAAGTTAAAATCATACAAGCCATTGTATTCCCTATTACCATGTATAGATATGAGAGCTGGACAGTTAAGAAAGAAGATAGGAAGAAATCCAACTCATTTGAGATAATGTGGTGCTGGAGAAGAGTGCTGAGGACCCCATGGACAGCCAAAAAGACAAACAAATGGGTCCTAGAACAGGACAAACCAGAAATCTCCCTGGAAGCCAAGGTGACAAAACTGAGGCTGTTGTACTTTGGCCACATCATGAGAAGGCACGACTCATAGGAAAAAACAATGATGTTAGGAAAGGTGGAGGGAAGTAGAAAGAGAGTAAGGCCTCTAGATGCTAGATGGATGGACTCTATTAAGGAGGTCACAGGTATGAGTTTGCAGGAACTGAGCAGAACAATGGAGGACAGGGAGTCTTGGGGTCTCCATGGGTCAAGATTTATTTATATTTTTTTGAATATTTTCAAGGCCTGGATGATTAAATCTGTGGATAAAGAATCTGTAGATACAGAGGGCTGGCTGTAATATATAATTATGTCATATTTATTTTTATTTTCATATCTCATACCTATTACCCTTCATTCCATATTCAGCAGTACTTTAAACTCTCATTACAATTCACATTTTATCAGGTACACTGCCTCAGCAGATGGAGGTTCATTTTCAGAAACTTCAATTAGTTCAAAATATAGCAGCCCGAAGTGTTGTTTACTACTTCTAAAATGCTACGTGGTTTGGGTCCAGATTACCTACAGGATTGCTTTCACTTATATAATCTGTCCCATACACTCAGGTGCTCTGAGAGACATGTACTCCAGTTAGCCAAAACTAGGCTGGATCTTACCCAGGGAACATTTTCCTCAACCACTGCAGAATTATCTGCAGGAATAGATTTGTCAGATAGAGACAGTGGCTGCATCCGTACTGCAGAAATAATCCAGTTTGACACCACTTTAAATGCCATGGGTCAATGCTAGGGAATTCTGGGAAGTGTAGTCTGTTGTGGCACCAGAGCAAAGCAACAAACTCCATTTTCCAGAATTCCATAGTGCTAAACCATGGCTGCTAAAGTGGCATCAAACCAGATTATTTCGGCAGTGCAGCTGCAGCCGCTGCCTGTATTTACATCAGCAGTAAAGGCAGGTCTCTTCCAGCAGGCCTATTCAGATTAATTTTAAATTATGGTTTACAAAGTATTTATTGATATTGTTCCCTCCTTTGATTCACAGGGAGAGGCAGCTAAAAAATAAATATTATTATTTTATTTTATTATTTGTTGTGTGCCTTCGAGTCGTTTCTGACTTATGGCCACCCTAACAGGGTTTTCATGACAAGTGCTTTCAGAGGAGGTTTGCCATTCCCATCCTCTGAGGCTGAGAGTGCGACTTCCATATAATTAATGATATTCCCTCCAACTGTCTTTATTTGGCAGGGACAGTCCAAGTTCATCCTCTGTCATCCTACTTTTTGAACCATGTCCCAGTCTTCCTGCTACAAAACGAGTTCAATGTGCGAAAGTAGTTTGTATTCTGAGCCCTATACAGCTTAGGTCCAGACTATTCGAGAGACTGTATCTCCCCATACAAACCTGCTAGAGCCCTAAGGAGAAGGTTTTCTCTCGGTCCTGCCAAGATGACAGGCTTGCCTGGCAGTAGCGTCACTGGGAGGGGTGTGTGTGTGCAGGCTGCACCGGGTGACACCTCAGAAGGGGGGTGACACCCAGTTAGTCCCTGGCCCTCCGTGGGCCCCACCAGCTGCTCCCTGGGATCATGCGGGGGCATCTCTGAGCATGTGTGCATGGCTCCACATGTCCCGGAAGAACACCAGAAGTACCCCCCAGAAATCCTGCTCCCCCATGAGTGACTGCACTGGGTGACACCAATCCTAGGGACACCACTGCCGCTTGGTCAGGACACGAGAGAGAGCCTTCTTGGTGGCTGTTCCTACCTTTCAAAAATGCCCTTCCACATGAGGGTAGGCTGGCCTCCTCCCTGCTTTCCTTTCATTGGCAAGTATAAATGGTTTCATTCAGTCACGCTTTTAAATGTAATAATCATAGAATTGCAGAGTTGGAAGAGACCACAAGGGCCATCCAGTCCAACCCCCTGCCATGCAGGAACACAGAATCAATCGCCATCCAACCTGTTTAAAAACCTCATGACAGGGTGGCTTTTATATGGGGTAGGGTGGGGGTGTTTTAGTTATCTTTTTTTTTAATGTTTTAAATGATAATTTTATATTGTTTTAATTAGATGATTTTAACTGTTTTAAACAGGAAAAACAGATTGAAGTTAAATCCAGACAAAACGGAGGTGCTCACAATAGCGTCCCCGAAAACAGGAATTGGGTTGCAACCTCCAGTCCTGGAAGGGGTCACACTCTCCTTAAAGGACTGTGTTCACAGTCTGGGGGTGCTCCTGGACTCGTCGCTTCAGATGACTAATCAGGTGAATGTGACAGCCAAGAGTGCATGTTATCAGCTTCGGCAGATACGCCAGCTGCGCCTTTTTCTGGAAGTAAGGGACCTTGAGACTGTGGTGCACACGCTGGTAACCTCCTGTCTTGACTTCTGTAATGTGCTCTACATGGGGCTACCCTCGTGTTTAGTCCAACTAGAAAACTCCA